AGGGAGAGACAGAGGGAGTGGAGAAGAGGGAGGGCCAGAGGGAGAGACAGAGAGTGGAGAAGAGGGAGGGCCAGAGGGAGAGACAGAGGGAGTGGAGAAGAGGGAGGGCCAGAGGGAGAGACAGAGAGTGGAGAAGAGGGAGGGCGTGGAGGAGAGGGAGGACCAGGGTTAATTACAAGCTGCAGACCTGATCGACGGAGTCCTCAGGGAACCGCCTTCGCACCTCGGGACCTGTAAATAATTGACGGATAATATTAATTGGAGGCAGATTAGCAAGCCAGTGGCACAGCACTAACATATTAATATTTGATCAGAAGATAGCATGCGGGGGTCTGTCAGGGGTTCCCAGGGGCCAGCTGGGACAGAGGAGAGCCCCCCTGCCCCCAGACACCAGAGAGGGAGAGAGACACAGACATGTTAGCAACCTCGCACTGTGAGGGACAGCTGCGTCGACCTGGCTGGCACTGCCTGGCATTATGAGTAGGGCAGGCCAAATGTGACCCACACTGCACCCACTTTACTCTGTGTGTGTGTTCTTCTGGATCTTGCACACATTCTGATGCTGCGGGTTTGACAGTGAGTGTCTGTGTGAGTGTGTCTCAACTGGAGTCCTGGACGGGCGGTACGGGGATATGGAAAGCGCAAACAAACAAATGTATTTTTGTATAGCGCATTATCACAACATTACATCGTCTCAAAGTGCTTTACAGCATCCCCACTCAAAGCCCCCAGTGAGTAAGCCATAGGCGACAGTGGCAAGGAAAACCTTCCGAGAAGGAAGAAACCTTGGGAGGGACCAGACTCAAAGGGGGAGCCCATCCTCCAGGGATCAGCAGGGAGAGTCAAATACAGTAAAATTTGAGACACAAACGGGGAGCAGGGGGGAGATGAGAAAATGAGAAAAGGATCAAGCAAACTCAGAGAGATATGCAGAAGGAAAAAAAACAAAAAGACAAAAAATACAACAAACAACTAACTTGAGCCTGAAGTTGAACATAAAAAGCGTTGTTGGGGCCAGTCGGCCAGCAGAAGACACAGACCTCTGGTTCCAACAGACAGGTCAGGCAGGACACGGTCAACCCCATGAAGGACCCACTCTACCATGGGGGGCTGGTGGGGGGCCTGCTTTTCAGCTTACTGGCCAATTACTTCACCGGAAGCCGTCCCAGCGGCAGCTCGGGGCTGAGCGTGGAGTCACTAAAGCCCCTTTAACACAAGCTTTCAAAAGGACTTGTTCTCTCTTCAGAAGAAAAAGCCGTGAATTAGAAAGAAAAGGAGAGGCGGGTGAACAGAAAGCAGCTCTATGAAAGCAGAAGAAACATGGTGTTTCACTGAATCCAGGGTCCGGCAGGAACAGGGTGCAAGAGGGAGAAAGACAGCGGGATCAAGCGAGTGGAAACGGCCCTTTGTGCTTGTGAATCAGGACGATGCAGACCGCTAGATGGCTGCATACTTGGAGAGCTGAGATTAGCATGTGTGCAGTGAACACACTTATCCTGCCCCCACACCCACTCGCCCCACCTCCATGCCCGCTTA